CATCAACCCTTAATTATCACATGAAAATCCACACTGGAGAGAAACAGTACACATGTGATCAGTGCGGAAAGAGTTTTAGAAAAAAAGGAGAACTTACATCACACATGAGAGTTCACACTGGAGAGAAACCGTACGCTTGTGATCAGTGCAGCAAAACATTTTTGAGAGCTTCAGACCTGAAGCAGCACCTGAGAGTTCATACAAAGGAGAAACCACATTCATGTTATTTGTGTGGAAAGAGTTTTTCACATCTACAAAGTTTGAAAATACATCAGAAAACACATACTGGTGTCAGAGAGTACATGTGCTTTGAGTGTGAGAAGACTTTTACTTCAGCGAGCCGTTTAAAACTGCATGAGAGGATTCACACTGGAGAGAAACCTTACAAGTGTTCACACTGTGACAAGAGATTCAGTCAGTCAGGAGCCCTGAAAACACACGAGAGGATCCACACTGGAGAGAAACCTTACAAGTGTTCACACTGTGACAAGAGATTCAGTCAGTCAGGAGCCCTGAAAACACACGAGAGGATCCACACTGGAGAGAAACCTTACAAGTGTTCACACTGTGACAAGAGATTCAGTCAGTCAGGAGCCCTGAAAACACACGAGAGGATCCACACTGGAGAGAAACCGTATCACTGCACTGCATGTGGGAAGTGTTTCATTAATTCATCTAATCTACACAGTCATACTGAACACATTCACAGTAAGTAGATAGTAAGTAGTAGTAAAAGGCACATTTACGTGACACTCTCCAGGCCTGCAAACACCAAAGATCCATACAGCGTGACTCCTCGTGACCCCCGAGGGCAGGGGTCTGCAACCTTCAACATCAAAAGAGCCATTTCAGACCCTTTCCCACCGGATAAAACTCTTGCACTTTAGGGCTGTGCGATTCATTTTATTTTCGATATTTAGTTTGTCTAAAATGGCCAGGCTCCTTGGGGTTTTCCATTTTTGAAACTGGAACAACAACACCGGAAGTCTTCCACAGGGCCAGAACTCTTTCCAGACGAAGGCTCAAGTTAACT